GTTTTCAGCTCCACACTTCTGATAATTTTTTGTAACAGCCTCTTATTCTCTCGAAATAAAATTGATAATACAACCTACCTACGTACAAGCTTCCCCCAAAAAAAGATTAATGAAAAGCTGTCACAGCTGTAACTATAGTAGAAAAGTATAATACAATTCAATCTGTAACAATATGCTTCAATATATAAAGGCTTTGACACTGCTGTGCCAGGTGATCTAAGACGGGAGAATTATCATGGATACATTGGGCTAGGAACTCAATGTATGTTCAAGATTTTCATTCACCTCAGTGAGCAGGTTTTTGTTTGTTKGTTGGTTGGTGCTGGGAACTGAACCCAGGGGTGCCTAACCACTGAGCCACATCCCCAGCCCTTTTATTTTTTTATCTTGAGACAGGGTCTTGCTAAGTCACTCAGGGCCTTGCTAAGTTGCTGGGCTGACCTCCAACTTGCAATGCTCCTGCCTCAGCCTCCTGAGTTACTGGGGTATAGAAGCATCTGGAACATAATACAGCTACATGTGCAAAAGGGGCCAGGAGTGATTTTTTTGATGCTGCAAATACCACAGACCACACTGCCACGGGTGCCACGACTTTCCAAGACGGTGACGAGGCCCTGGGAAGGTTCCATCTGTGGTCCGGGGATCTGAGGCATTTATCTACCAGCTCCCATTTGGGGATGGAGTCCCTTCCGAGGGGGTGTGACAGCACAGGGGAATGTCCCCAGCAGTCATGCCAGGTGCCCGCAGACAGAACTGGCCCAGCACAGCCCACCRCAGGGTCCTGGGAGACATGGCTGGAGTCTGCTGCCCCCCGACGGCAGGTGAAAGATGGCCAGGGTAAGGCTGGGGAGGGTCGGTGGCAGGGAGTGGTACAAAGAGCCCCGGAGAATAACGAGGTCCCCCGCTTAGCTCATTAGTGGGCCCTGGGGGGTGGCCACAGAGCCAGCCGCCCAGCTGCAGAGGGCTCGGGGACTCTGGGTCCTGGGCACCAACGAGACCTCAGAGGCTGCCCTCAGAGCATGGCCAGGCTGCCCTGCTGCCTGCCCCTCGGGGGCCTTTAGGGTACACCCCCACGGCTGGGTAACAGGGACGGCTCTGCTCCGGACACCCAGGGGCTGCCTCCAGGGTCTGGAGTGGACCTCTGGAAGCCTGTCGGTTTCCTTCTCATTGTCATCTCACGTGGACACTCACACAACCTACGAGATAGCTGGTCTCCCTATCTCCAAGCTACAGAGAAGGACAAGGAGGCACAGAGAGGTTATGTCGTTTGCCCAAAGGCACACAGTAAGCGGCAAAGCCCAGAAAGCCATCCCACTGGGACAGGGCAGGGACCCAACTCAGCCCTGCTGCCTCCGGTCCCCTGTCCTCACTCCCTCTAACCATTTAGCTGCACTGTCTCTCAGTGACACTGGTCACTGAGCTTCATCTGCAGTGACTGGGGGACACTCTTGCGTTACCATCACTCTCAGGCTCCGCCCTGCAGAAGACAGGGTCTGATCTGGGGTGGATCACACCTGTGAGCTGGCTTTTTCAGTCAGACCCGACTGGGGACGAGTCTTAGCTCTGCCTTTCCCTGGCTGTGTGACCTCAGCAGTTGACTCGCCTTCTCTGAGCCTCCCAGAGGGCCACAGGTCTGAGTAGGACAGTGCCTGGGCGCTTGAAGAGACCAGATCCTAGTTCTGGGTTTGAGGCTTTGGATGGTCACTTGGACATCAGTGTCCACCTGGAGCTGCCCTGGGTCTGGGGCTCCAGCTGAAGCCCTCCTCTAGAACCCACCCAGCTCCCGGCTCTGGACACAGAGGGGCGGGCACCCCACCCCACGCTGCACGGCCCTCCCTGCCTAGCTGGCCCTGACCTGCTGCCCATCCACGGCCATCATGGTGTTGACATCAGGCCTGGCCAGCTGCCGGCCCAGCTTCCAGGACACAGCAGATGCTCATTAAACACAGCAGCAGCAGCAGCAGCAGGTGAGCCGGTCACGGCCATCGACAGCCCACAGAGTGGACACATGAGCTTTGGAGTCCCAGGCCGTGTAAGCTGTGGCCTGGGGGAACTTACATCCGTTCTCTCTGCAGACGAGAACCGTGTGACTGTCCCCACCGTGGGCTCAGCAGCGGCTCCAGGACAGCAGTTATCATGGCCTCTGCTGCCATTTTCTTTTCCACCCTATTTCCTGGCAGCTCCCAGTCCCTGGTGGATATGTCAGGAAGGAATGTTCTAGAATCAGTACCCAGGGGTGGAGTCTCCTCTTCTTTTCTGTGTGGCCTTGGAGAGGAATCCTGCCTCTCTGGACCGCGGTTGGCCTGTCTGTGAAATGGGCCCACCACCTGCCGTGCCCACCTCTCAGTGACATTCTTTGAATTCAATGAGATGATGATGTCTACAAAGCCCTGAGTCCTCAGCAAGTGCTCATTTATGAAGGGCAATGAAACTGCTCCTTGTAGAAACAGTGAAGGGGACAGAGTGGGAGGCTGCCAGTCCACTTCTGCCTTTTATCTGTCTTGTTGGGGAGTACCCTGATCCAGCCAAGCCTGAGGCCCACCCAGCTCTCCCACACACAGCAAAGCAAGAAGTCAAGGGGATTCCTTGTGTGTGTGTGTGTGTGTGAGTATGTGTGTGTG